TTTTTCCTCTGTACAAAATGGATCAATTTCCTCTCTAAATTCTACTACTATTCTGGGGTGCTGTGCATCTGTCTTTAGTGACAACTGCCTTACCATTGGTGGCTGATATGCCTGGCCTCCTTCTGGACATGAATGCTGTTGCTTGATTCTTTTGTACACATTGGCCTTAGATAGATAGTTTTTCGGATGGATGGGTACATGTCTTGGCAATGATCTGTCTAGTTTGCAGTCTACGACAGGGTCATTTGAAAGGCTGCTAAATACTGCCTAGTGATCCCTCAGCTTCCATGCCATCCATCCATTTGTGGTCTTTCCTGTAGGGACCACATGTCAACAGAATCCTGGTTGATCATCCTGAGCTTATAGTGAGAGTGGCTTTGACAGAGGCAATTCGTCTTGCATTAGCAAGTTAGGAAGTTTAACATGGTCAGACTAAGTCCATAGGTCCCATTCAAATAACCTGTCAGGATGTCTACCAGATACAAAATATTCAGCAAGGGCCTACAGATATAGCAGTGAATAATACCTAAATAATTCCTTGACTATCTCACAGATTGGTGGAAAAATGTGCAGGAAACCCCAAATAACAAAGGTGTGGAGGACAATGGAGCATGAAAGAGAAGGAAGAGGTGAAATCCATCATTTCCTCAAGACCCCAATCCTGCAGCAACTGGCTCATGTCTGTAAAAACAGCCTTAATCTACTCATGAAAACAGACCCTCCACAGCCTTATCCATCTTGAGGGTTCAGTCTCTTTGTTGGGTTACATTTAGACTAAGTTTCTAATACATAAACTTGAGGGTATGCATTTAAATCAGAGAAATTGCACTTACCAAATTACAATAGTGGTGTTTGGTTTTTAAAATTTCTGCATATAAGAAAGATAATAGAATATATAACAGGCTATGGATTACATGCTTCTGGCATTAAGACTTAATCCTGGACCAGCTGGCAAGAGGCATCAGGTTGGCACAGCCCCTGGAAGCATCTCTGTCTATTGTAGGCACCAGAGTGATGATATGTCTCCTGGTCTTCAGCAGGTGTTTCACGAGCCCTCATCCAATCTCCATAAGGAAGCTGAATGAATCTCAGTGGGTCAGAAAAGACAGACATAGAAATGTGTGTTGGGGGAAACCAGCTGGGAAAGTGCTGTGTGGAGTGGAACAGAGAAGAGAGGTTCATGATTGGTGAGTGTGACCAAACTGCAGTACATGTGGTATGAACTTCTATTATGAATAACATGCTATTATTACCCAAAATGTAACGTATTATGATAAAATTAGTGCAACAAAAAGGTAACTTTTAGTTTTTTGAGACAGGGTCTCCCTATATAACTCTGGCTGTCCTAAAACTCATTATGTTTGACTAGGCTGTCCTTGAATTCACAGAGATCCATCTGCCTCTACCTCCTGAGTGCTAGGGTAGGTGTGTGCCACCAGGTCTGGCAGAAAATAACTAGTTTTAAGTGTGCAATTTATTCAGCACACTCACTTTTGTGCACACACTCCTGCTAATCTGAAACTGTGTGGATTCCTTCCTGTTCTCTATCCCATTACTGACTCCCCATTGTGTGTCTGTCATTGTTGGATGACTCACTCTGGGTCCTTCAAATCATGAAGATCATACACTACATGCGATTTTTACACCTGGCATGTTTCACCTAGCATGGTGTTTGTCAGGTTCTTCTATAGCATAGAATCTATAC